CCTTTTGAGCGTAACCTAGGGTCAGGTCTTTTCATACTGCACACTGAGTACCCGCTGGCTGTTGCGTCTGTTGTGGTCGCCGTGTTATGCTCCTGTCGCTCCCTTGCCCACCCGACCTTACTGTGGCACCACCACTTAGGTCACCTTGCACTCCAACAACTTAGGCACATGTCCCAGCACGGTCTGATCACTGGTCTCCCTGCTTGACGCCCCGCCCTGCCTATCTTCGTCATGCCACTGTGCACCTCCTGCGTCGAGGGCAGGCAACGCGCCGCCCCCCACTCCTCCTCGTTTCCTCCTACCACAGCGCCGCTACAGACGCTGCACATGGACGTCTGGGGCCTTGCCCCGGTCCATGGTCTTAGTCGGGAGGGCTACTTTCTCATCGTCATTGACAGCTTCTCGCTTTTCAGCACGGTGTTCCCGTTGGAGCGGAAGACCAACGAGCCTACCGTGCTCCTTCCGTGACTCCTTACTGTCCGCGTTCAGCACCGACTGCCCATCATTCGCTTACACTCGGACAGTGATGGCGAGTTTGCCTTTGGCACTTTAGGACAGTACTGTAGTGCGGAGGGCATCCGCCAGATGTACATACTGCCGGACTCCCCATTGTAGAATGGGGTCGCCGAGTGACGCATCGGCCTGATTATGAAGATAGCTCGTACCTCCATGGTTCGCGCCGGTGCACCCCATTTTCTGTGACCGTTTGCTGTGCGCTACGCTGCTCACCAGCTTAAAGCGAGAGGTTATAATAGTGACCCCTCTTTCTAGTTGGGCCCAACTAGAAACTACCCTTGAGCGAATATTTTGCTTCGCGCTGGGCAGCAGCCCAGATCTTTTAGCTTGCATTGGGCCACGAAATCGAATTGCTCCTGCGACGGGAATGTTATCGTAACACATCGTACAACCACTGGCATGCGCAGACAATAATTTCGACCAATCGGCAACCAGCCTTGGTTTAGCAGGAGTTGTGAACCCGGGTCCAACTTGAAATTCAAGTTGGGCCCACTTGGTTCAACTTACGGGCAGTGGGGACTGTGAGACTGGTCACGCGCTATTTGCGACTTGAGTTTGTTCGCGCCAAGTGTTGCTCATGCCACGTTTCCCACCAAACGGAACGGGGTTTCCCGCCAACCAATCAAGTAACTGCTCATGCTCGCGCAGTTTCCCCTGCTCGCATGTCTTGACAGTGAACCCCTCAGCCCCAACCAGTTTGTCCCTTAGTCGCTACGACGAACTTCTGGGCCCTTTCAAGTTGGACCCCCCTTCATTATTTTGACCACTCGCTTTAACCTGTGGCTGCACTCCCAGCGGCCACAAGTTTCGCCGACCCGACTCTGAACCGGGTCTCCTGGTGACGCGTCGGTGTTTTCACGTCTGGGGCAGCCTTGCTCACGTCCGCGACACTCACGCGGACAAGCTCTCAGCTCGCTCCCTTCCTTGTGTCTTTCCGGGGTTTTCGCTCGACGCCTCAGACTGACTATTTTACCACCCGGTACACCACTGCTTCTACCACTCTCGTGATGTTACCTTCGACAAGACACTCCCCTACTACCAGCGCTTCCCGTACCGCAACACCTCCTCCTCCTCTCTTCCTCGCCCCTCCCCCGCCTGTTGCACCCCTCCCACCCCGCCAGACCCAGTCAGGTGTCTCCCACGCCAATCAGTTCCCCTCGGTTGGGCCCGTGGGGAGTCGACTGACTTTGGGGCCCAGCTGCTGGGGGCGCGCCTGCTGTCCCTGTGGATCCTCCCCCAAAGTACCCCTGGAACCTCAGGCACCTCCCCCCGTGCCTCAGCAGCCAGAGCAACAGCCACAGCAGACTCAGCGGCCACAGCAGACTCAGCGGCCACAGCAGCAGGTAGCAGTTGGATTTGGGGGTGCTAGTTCTAGGGGTTGCTGGTGTTTGGGGTGCTGGTTCTGGGGTGCGAGTTTTGGAGGTGCTGAATCTGGGGGTGCTGGTTCTGTGGGTGGTGCGTCCGGAGGTGCCAAACTTGGGGGTGCTGTTTTGGGGAGTGCCGGTGGTAGCCGAGGTGAGGCTGGAGGTCCTGGCGAGGACAGGGTCCAGCAGCTGGCATAGGCGCAGCAGTAGCAGCAGCCGCGGCCGAAGCACAAGCAGTCGCAGTGTGCCCTTCGTCTCCTTGGTCCTGCTCTAGGTTCCCCTGTCCGCCGCCCGTTCCCCCTCCGGTGCGTGGCCCTGTTTACAGCCCGCAGTTCCCTCCTCCAGACTCCTCTCCGGCTCGTTTTCCCCTGCGCTCCCCTCCGTCCCCTGACTTGTCCCCCATCCCCTCTCGTCCCCAATCCCCAGTTCTTCCCCACTGGTTCCGTCACCCCTCTAGTGCTCGTCCTATCTCTCCCCGTGGTAGTGTCCACCCTATGGTCCTCCAATCTCGTGCTCCTCCAGTCCCCGAGCTTCTTTTACCTCCTCCGTCATCTCTCCCGCAGTCCCCCCCCTCCTCCTCGCTCTGACGCTGCTCGCACTGCTCGTCCTACCCTCTCGCGCCTGCTTGCGTCGCTTGTCACTGACCCTACTACTCCTCCTGAGACCGTCTCTGTGCTTGTCGCTACTGCCGCTGACTTTGGTGCTAGACACCGCCTTGACTACGCTGCCGCTCTGGTCTCTGGTACTGCCCGTCCTCCATCCGTCGGGCGTGAACCTGCCCTTGGTAGTGACGTGCTAGAGACGGGTAGTACGATTTGGCCTACCTTGCTGCTGCTGTACCCCATCTCTGCTCCATGCTCGTATGTCAGGAGGGTGACCCAGATGCCCTCGACATCCCTGTCCCGCGCTCTTATGCTGAGGCGGTGTCGAGGCCCTGGGCAGCCAAGTGGATACAAGGCATGGAGGCTGAGATGGCATCCTACATATCCACAGGCACTTATGCCAACGCAGTTCCCTCGCTTGGGGCGAACAGTCTCGATGGCATGTGGATTTACAGGGTGAAGCGCGCACCTTGAGAGCCGCCGAAGTTCAAAGCGTGTTACGTGACTAGAGGCTTCAATTAGTGGGAGGGTGTGGACTTCTTACAGACCTTCTCCCTACTTGAAGGATGAATACTTTTCGGATGCTCCTCCACCTATGTCACAGGATCGAATGTGTCGAGGAAAGGTTGCACTATCGATCAGTACAAGGCGCTTTTATACTTCCAGAGTACATCAGGTAACCAGGTTTATCTTATCCTAAGGGAATAGACCCTTCTAGAAGATAGAATCACCCTGCGTATAGCCACGCGAGGCTATTGGCTTTAAGGGATTACGGCAGGATTACGCTAGATAGCGCACCAGTACATCCCAAGCCTGGTCGGTGATATAATTATAATAGCAGGATAAACCAAAGGTAATGGAAAATGGAGAATAGGAAACCAAATGAGATGAGATAAAAAGAGAATGAAATAGAAGAAAAAGAAAAGGCAAGTGGTGTAACGGGGTCGTACTCTCACACTTCCCCCCCTCAAAGCTGGGTGGTAGAAGTAACACCCTGCTTGACAAGGTAGTCATGCAGAGGACGACGGGCGTTACCCATGTCGGACTCAGGTACCCAGCTGTCCTCAGAAGGATCATAACCCTTCCAACGATTGAGAAGCTCCACGGTGCCATTCCGACGACGGCGGTGTGCAAGCACGGACTCGACCTCGTACTCGGGTTCATTCTGGACGAGGACGGGCGGCGGCGGCGGCGGTTGGCGTCCGACGAAGATCGTGTTCGGATCCCGATAGGGCTTCAGAAGTTGGACATGGAAGGCGTTGTGAATCTTCCAGGTAGCTGGCAGGCGTAAGCGGAAGGTAACAGGAGTGACCTGTGCTTCAACGAGAAAAGGCCCGCAGAAGCGAGGTCGAAGTTTAGATGGGAGATGGCTGATGTCCAGGTTGCGGGTGTCAAGAGCACCTGGTCTCCCACGGAATGGTGTGGTCGTTGCGATGGCGATCGGCCTGGCGCTTCTGTTGCTGTTGAATGTCGAGGAGGCGCTTGTGGGTCCGATCCCAAAGCTGATGCATGGTTGTGATGAAATCATGTGCAGGTTGGACTGTAGCGATGTTGTCGGTTTCTGTGGTGTGAGTGGGTGGCGTCCGTAGCAGAGGAAGAACGGCGTCTGTCCAGTAGCGGCGTGTGCATTGTTGTAAGCAAACTCCAGACGGGCAGGTGCAAGTCCCATTTGGAGATGTCGTCCTTGCAGGCTGCTCGGAGGAGTTGCTCAACAATTTGGTTGAGGCGCTCGGTCTGTCCGTCTGTCTGCGGATGGTGCGGATGACATGGCGAGTTTGGTCCCGAGCAGAGACATAAGTTCCTTCCAGAACTTGCTGGTGAACTTGGGGTCTCGGTCGGAGATGAGTGTGGTTGGATGCCATGCTGTGAGATGATGTAGAACGAAGAGTTGTGCTGTCTCCTCGGTGCGTGCCGTCGTGTGTGTCGGGATGAAGTGTCCCATTTTGGAGAACTTGTCATGACGACAAGGATGCGTCATGACCGCTGGTGGGGTGGTAACCCGGTGATGAAGTCCAGGCTAACCACTTGCCATGGTTGTTCTGGGACAGGAAGAGGCTGCAGTAGTCCCGCCTTTTTCTGCTTGCTGCTCTTCATCCGCTGACATGTATCACACGAGGTGACGAATTTCTGACATCGTCTGCCAAGTGGGGCCAGTAGTAGTGTTTGGCGATACCGGTCAGCGTCTTGTTGCTACCGAAGTGTCCGGCGTAGAGGACGTCGTGGTATTCTTCGAGTAGTAACTGGCGCAAAGGAGGGTAATTGGGTACCCAGATTTTTGTTGATCCTTTCCGGTACGCGATGTCACTGTCCCACTGTAGCAGATGTCGCTTTTCTACCAAGGGAATTTCGGGGGTCGAGGCATACCCGTATATGAAGAGTCCCTTGAGTAGTGGATTCATCCCTTCGACCTGAATAGCGGCAACGTGTGCAGGCTGGCTGAGTGCGTCTGCTTTGTTTTTGTGGCCGGGCTTGTACACGATGTCGTAGTGGAAGTGTGTCTCGAGGAAGTCGATCCACCGACCTGCCGCCTCGAAAGGTTGGGTTGTGTCTTCAAGTATTTCAGGCTGCAGTGGTCGGTGTAGACGGTTGTTCTTCGTCCTTCAAGGTAACATCTTCACGCTTTGAAGGCGATGACGATGGCAAGGGCCTCTTTGTCGTGTATCGGGTAGTTTAGTTCTGCCCCGTGTAGTTTCTTACTTAGGTAGGCGATTGGTTGTAGTCCATTCCCCTGATCTTGCATTAAGACTGCTCCCACTGCCTGGTCGCTGGCGTCAGCTTTGATTACGTAGTCGCGTTCGGGATCTGGCAGGATGAGTGCTGGTGTGGACGTGAGTGCTTGTTTCAGCTGCTCCCACGACTTCCTGGTGCTTCGGCTCCCATTTGTAGGGAGTGTTCTTCTTCAGCAGATTCGTGAGTGGTGCTGCGAGTTTTGCATACTGTGGCACGAACCTGTTGTAATAATGAGCAAAGCCTAGGAACTGCTGCAACTCCTTCACGTTCTCGGGTGTCTTCCACGTACGTACGGATTCGATTTTCTTGGGGTTGACGTGAACTCCTTGAGCACTCACCATGTGTCCTAGGAACTAGACCTTCTCAAGGGCGAATTCGCTCTTGGACAGTTTGACGTAGAATCGTTCTCGTCGAAGAATTTCGAAGACGCGTCGCAGGTGTTCGACGTGCTGCTTCATGTCGCTCGAGTAGATGAGGATGTCGTCCAGGTACACCACCACGCACTCGTCTAAAGTGGTCGTAGAATGTGGTTTATTTCGGCTTGGAACGTTGCCGGTGCGCTGGTGAGTCCGAACGACATTACCAAATACTCGTACGATCCCATAACGAGTTCGGAAAGCAGTTTTGTGGATAGAGTTGTCCGCCATCCATATCTGCCAGTATCCGGACCACAGATCCAGTTAGAAAATACCGTAGCTCCCCGAAGCTGGTCAAGCAGGTCATCGATTCACGGAATCGGATATTTATCTTGATGGTCTGCTTGTTAAGAGCTCGGTAAGTCGATGCACATGCGCAGGCTTCCGTCCGGTTTCGGTGTGAAGAGTACTGGGGCACCGTACGGCCGAAGTGGATGGTCGGATAATTCCTTTGGCTAGGAGATACTCGATCTGTTTTTTCATGTCGGTCAGCTCCGTAGGCCTGAGCCGATATGGTGCTCGGAAGGTCGGCTTCGAACCCGGTTCCTCCACGATCTCGTGTTGATGCGTTCGTATGGCGGTAGTTCGTTTGGAAGATCGTCAGGAAGAATGTCTTGGAACTCCTTCAATAATTCCTTGATCTTTCCCGGAGGTTCTGAGGTCTTCTCCCTATCATTCTCCACCTCTGTTGCTATCGCCAGGAACCCGGTATCGGTTCGCTTCACGTCCTTCTCGAATCGTGCGAGTGTCTCCACTGGGATATCTCTTGTATCGTCCCAGTTTGGTAGCTGTACTCTCCGTCCATTGTTGTAGATGCTTGCGGTGCGGTTCACCTAGTTGATCTCGGGGTTGAATCTCTTTAGCAAGTCTCGCCCGAAGATCAAGTCAAGCCCCTTTGATATTGGTGATGGGGAGTGCAGGTCTCCAGCGCAGTGGTCCGATTTGTAGGTGTAGCACTGCTTCACCGTGTACTGGTAACTTGCTTCCGTCCACCATCGTTGCAGAGAATCCTGAAGGCTTGTACTCTTCCCGAAGTTGGTCGATTACTGGCCTTGTTGCAGACGGTGTGTAATGCTCCACTGTCCACAAGTCCTTGAAGGCGTCGTCCTTTGCAGATGACCTTGAGCACGAGGGGCAGGCGTTGCTCGGAGTACCCAAAGATGGTTTCATTGATTGGGTCATAGGGTACATCCCAATATTCCGTACACACATTTGTGTTGCTATCTACTCCTGAGCTGGTAGCTGGCCAAGGGCTGCTTGGAGAACGGCTCTTCTCCAGGGCCCGGAGTTTCCTTGACGACTGTGCGTGTTATTGATGCCGAAGAACTGGATGCATCCGGAGGAGGAGTTCGGGGTTTGTGCAGCTTTTTGTAGACCCCCAGCTTCCTCCTGAGCTGCTTCAGCTCCACCGACGTCTTCCCTGGGGAACGGGTAGTCGTTGTGGGCTGGTGTCGGGAGAGGACGTTGACTCCGTGGAAAAGGTCGGCTTCTTTCCACACTCAATTTTTTCCCCAAGTAGTCTGGTACCGGTATTAATCTCCACAGCTGTCTGCTTCTTTTGGGAGTCCCTCCCGAAATTTCTCCAAGGCTCTAGCCCCTCGAAAATCATAAGTTTTTATTAAAGCATCTTTATAAGATAACTTTAACGAATCCTTATTATTTCTTGGGTTTCAAGGAGTTTCCCTGTCTTGGCAGAGTCTTTTTCACGGAGTCGTATTTTTCCTCGGCGATTTTCCCTGGCGAAGACTGGTCGTGGGGTGGAGATTTTCCCCCATCATTTCCTCCTTCTCGCGTCGAATCAGCTTCGTCGAGGTTGATTTTCCCAGAATCCCGCGGCCGTTTTCGGATATTTTCTTTTTTGCCAGCTAGATCCGCGATCACCGGCGACTCCCGTTTTTGTCTTCTGATTGGCCGAAGGAATTCCGCCACTGTTGCGTGCCCGATACTCTGCGCGTGCGGCTTTCATTTTGTTGCAGTCGAAGATTCGATGACCTGGTACCCCGCAAAAATCACACGTGTAGATGGTGTTTTTCGGACGTGGCCGCCCCTCGAACCTGTCGACTTCCATCGGGTCGGCGAACGTGGGGTGAGCCGAGCGGTCGCCCTATCGCGTACTGCCGACGTGCGTCCGTCATGTCCCGGCGTTGACCATGTCGAAGCGCTCCGCTGCCGAAACGACGTCACTGTAGCTCGCGTAGTTTGACGCTGCCACTTGTCGTTTGACTTCGGTCTTTCAGCCCGGCGAGGTACGACTGTACTTTTTCCCCTTCGATCAGGTCGGGAATTCGGTTATAAAATTCCTCCATCTGCTGCGTGTACTGCGCTACACTCCCGAACTGTCGATGGCGATGAATTTTTTCCCGGGCAAGAAAACCTGAATTTATTGGCTCGAAACGTTCAGCAGGTCGGTGTGGAACTGCTGCCACGTGGCTTCACCGTGGATGAAGGTGCTGTTGCCGCCAATCCACTCGAGTGCCGGCCCTCGCATCAGTGTTGCCGCGAGTCGTACACATTGACCATCCCAAACTGGCGAGCTCCATCCGACGGCTGCGAAGTAGATCTCCATCCCGGCGATCCATCTGCGGGCGTCGGTGTTCGATCGCTCGGATCGAACGGCTCAGGTGGGCGCGGTTTTGGAGCCTTGAGAAACTGCTGCGATTGCTGCGTCGTCGCCGTTGTCGAGTCGTGCTGCGCTCCGGCGAGTCGAGTTACTCGCTCGAACTCGTTTCGCCACGCTTCGCGATCCGCTCGCATCTCCTCCTGAAGGGCTGCGATGCGCGCGAAGAGCTGCTGGGTAACCTCGACGTTGTCGAAGGTTGCCATCCTGTTCAAAACACGCGCGGGGGGGGGGGGTGATTTGAAAAAACGCGGAGCTGGTGCTTACCAGAATTGGCATCGAATTGGTCGCCCCCGGCGGTTTTTCGAGGCAAGTTTTCCCGATGCTGCTGCTTTGTTGAGCGCAGCCGAGTGAGAAAACCTCTGATTACCAAGTGTCACAGGATCGAATGAGTCGAGGAAAGATTACACTATCGATCAGTACAAGGCGCTTTTATACTTCCAGAGTACATCAGGTAACCAGGTTTATCTTATCCCAAGGGAATAGACCCTTCTAGAAGATAGAATCACCCTGCGTATAGCAACGCGAGGCTATTGGCTTTAAGGGATTACGACAGGATTACGCCAGATAGCGCACCAGTACATCCCAAGCCTGGTCGGTGATATAATTATAATGGCAGGATAAATCAAAGGTCAATGGAAAATGGAGAATAGGAAACCAAATGAGGAGAGATAAAAAGAGAGATGAAATAGAAAGACAAGAGAAGAAGGAACAAGTGGTGTAACGGGGTCGTACTCTCACAACCTAGCTGCGCAGCGTGACTACAAGATTTGCTCACTCGAATTCTCCACAACCTTCCTGTAGGGTAGTCTTTACGGGCACAGCTACTTCCGTCGCCCTCAAGGATTCTCTAGTTCTTTCTCACCTGGGATTGAGTGGAGCGTGCGCCGCCTTGTCTACGGTCTTCGACAGGCACCCAGTGAGTGGCACGACACACTTCACACCACTCTTGTTAAACTGCTGTTCGTTCCGTCCTCTGCTGACCCCTCTCTCCTTGTTCGCATAAGTCAGATCCCGTTCTACATCCTAGTATACGTAGACGATATTATCTTTGCTACTCTTGACAAAGTCACACTGGACTCAGTGAAGGCCGAGTTTCTTAGGAGGCACACCTGTACCGACTTGGGAGAGCTGGGGCGCTATATGGGCTTGGAGATCTCTCAAGACCGTGCTGATCGCACGATCACAATCTCCCAATCCCATATGGTGCAGCAGATCCTCCAGAGGTTCAGTCTTTAGTTCTCATCGGCATAGTCCACCCCTTTGCCTATAGATAACAAGCTCTCTGCTCCTGTTCCGGCTGAGCCGGTCAAGGCTAGTGGTCCATACGCAGAGCTGGTGGGGTGTCTCATGCATCTGATGACCTGCACACGACCAGATCTAGCAACTTGGCTGATGTATCTGATGACCCTCTCAGTCTCATGGCTCGCTTTGTTGCGATAGGCAGGCACCAACCAGTCGCTTCTTGGGCTGACGACGTGGAGACAGCATCCTACAGACCCACACGATCACACGACTGTACCACACGACTGTCTCTTAGTCGCTGGCCGACGACGTGTATGTTTGCCTAGTGAGCACCATTGGATCCCGTCCTCCTAGCATAAGCTCCAATCCTGATGTACTCGATGTATACCGCTGTACCCTCTTGGCAATCGACCAGTGGACCTGTCGATGCCTGCCTGTCACAACAAAGCGAGCCACGAGATTGAAAGGGTACTCTAGATCTGGTCAAGTGTAGGTAATTAGGTACATGAGGCACCCCGCCAGCTCTGCGTATGGACCACTAGCCTCGACCGGCTCAGCCGGAACAGGAGCAGAGAGCTTATGGTCCACTGGCCGAGGGGTGGGCTGTGCTAAGGAGAACCGGAGACTGAACCTTAGAAGGATCTGCTGTACCATGTGGAACTGGGAGAGTGTGATCGTGCGAGCGGCACGGTCACGAGAGATCTCGAAGCCCAGATAGCGCCCCAGCTCTCCCAAATCTGTACTGGTTTACCTCCTAAGCAACTTGGCCTTCACTAAGGCCAGTGCAACTCTGTCAGGAGTAGCAAAGATTCTACGTACACTAAGATGTAGAAATGTGTATAACCTGTGCAAACAAATAGAGAGGGGTTAGCAGAGGACGGAAAGAACTGCAGCTAAGCAAGAGTGGTGCGAAGCGTGTCGTGCCACTCACGGGGTGCCAGACGAAGGCCGTAAACAGGACGACGTATGCTCCTTTGAGTCCTAGGTGGGAAGGACCCAGAGAAGGCTAGAGGGCGCGGGAGGTAGATATGCTCGTGCAGACTACTCGGTAGAAACATTGTGGAGAAGTCGAGAGAGTGAAGCTCATAATCAAGTTGCACGGCTATGTAGAGAAGCACCCGAAGAGTAGTCATCTTTGAGGTCGGGGAGAAGGTGTGGATATAGTCTACACCCTCACGCTGTCTGAAGCCTCTAGCCACGTAACACATCTTGAACTTTGGCGGCTCTCCAAGTGCACACTTCACCCGGTAAATCCACATGACATCGACAACTTTCTCCCCAGAGGGGGGAACTGCATCGACGTAAGTGCCTGTGGATCTATAGGATGCCATCTCAGCCTCCATGGCCTATATCCACTGGGCTGCCTAGGGCCCCGACACCGCCTCAGCGTAAGAGCGCGGAACGGGGATGTCAATAGCATCTGGGTCGCCCTATGGGGATATAAGCATGGAGCAGAGATGGGAACAACGGTATCAAGGTAGGCCAACTTGTACTGCCTGTCCTCTAGCACGTCACTCCCAAAGGTAGGGGAACCCCCACGAACGGAGGACAGACACTACCAGAGACCAGAGCGGCAGCATAGTCAAGGCGGTGCCTAGCAGGCGGTGGCTAGCAGTGAAGACAACGACAGTAGCGACAAGCGCAGAGACGGTCTCAGAAGGAGCAGTAGGGTCAGTGATAAGCGACGCAAGCAAGCGCGAGAGGGTAAGATGAGCAGTGCGAGTAGCATCAGAGCGAGGAGGAGGGGGGAC